CCCAGCACTCACATTCCTGCTCACAACCATCAGCAACTCCAGTCCTAGAAGATCCAATGCCCTCATCTGGCCTCCTCAGGAACCAGGTGAACATGCTGCACAGACATACTCACTGACAAAACTGTAAAAGAAAAAAGTTATGCAGAAAATGGTTTGCCTCTCTTCAAATGTAGAGAAGTTGGGCAAGAAAAGTGTTTAAAATGGGACAGTGAAGGAATTTATGCCTGGTAATATAAACCTGGTCAAAAGTGTCCTTGGAGATCATAACCCTAGGGGGAACCTAGTATTGTTGTTTGACTACATGGACCATGCTGTCTAACTGCCTTCTAAATATTATTTGTATGCCCATGGATTAGTGCTGCTCTCAACCTTGGCCAGAGAAGCTGCTTCTGAGTGGGCAGTAGTAATACAAAGACCTGTACCTGGCCAATGTACTGAGAACAAGAGATTGTTGAAACCAAGCAGTGGTGGCCCATGCCTTTAATCCTAGCATTTGGGAGGCAGAGGCAGGAGGATCTCTGAGTTTGACTCCAGCCTGGTCCACAGAGTGAGTTCCAGAACAGCCAGGGCTGTAACACAGAGAAACTTGTCCTGTTTTGGAGAGAGAGAGAGAGAGAGAGAGAGAGAGAGAGAGAGAGAGAGAGAGAGCATTGAGTTCTCAACCTAAAATAGGACTAACCCTCACCCCCAAGATTCAGGAAATATGACAGATGAAAGGATGTTAAGAGTTTAAGGGCCAGAGGATGTGGAGGAGACTGTAAAATGCTGTTTTCCAGACATGCCGTGGTCATTGCAGCCATGGACTCACTTCAGCTGTGGTCTCCTGCACAAGATCAAGCCAACAAGAAGAGTCAACACTAACTAGACTCAGAGGGTTACAGAGGAAAAGGAACAGGAAGAGGAAATGGTGAAGTACACGAGGGGGCCCATCAGGGTTAGTAACCAGAGGGAGTAGAAAGGGAGATTTAGAGGTATATAACATCAAGATACATTGTATAGAAGTATGAAATTGTCAAATAATAGATAAAGATATTCAAAAGTAAAGAATGAAGTGCACCATTGAGGCGCAACTGAGAAGTGAGCTTTGAGAGTTGACATGAGAATCAAAACCAGGAGTGAGAGGTGACATTTTTTTCTGTGACTGGGTCATGGTGGTTTGAGTGAGAATGGCCCCCATAGCCTCATGATTGAATACTTGACCCCCAGCTAGAGGAACTCTTTGGGACGGATAAAAAGTTGTGGCCTTGTTAGAAGTGTGGCCTTATTGGAGATGTGTCATTGGGAGTGAGCTTGGAGGCTTCAGAAGTGCACCCAGTCTCTCTCTCTCTCTCTCTCTCTCTCTCTCTCTCTCTCTCTCTCTCTCTCTGCCTGCCACCTTTGGGTCAGGATGTAAATTCTCAGGTGTTCCTGTAGCACCATATCTGCCTACTTCTCACTACGATGATCATGAGCCAGCCCTTTAAAACTGTGAGCAAGCCTTAAATGTTTTCTCTTATAAGAATTGTTTTAGTCATGGTGTCTCATCACAGCAATAGAATATTTAAGAATATGCATGTGTGCCTACATGAGTTCCCGGGCCCCACATGCATGCAAATACTTAGCTACCCATCTCTTATAAACAAACTAAAACAGCCAAATTGATAGTGAAAAAGCAGAAAAGAAAGATTTATTTACTATGGTCATGTTGGAAAGACAAACAAGGAGAGCCAATGACCCCCCCAAGTCCACATTTGGGGTTCTGAGGTGAGTTTAAGGTTTAAGTAGGGGCCATAATTATGCATATCTAAGTAGTTCTTGCCCAGGCATGGTCATGACCAAAATTGACTCATCAGTGCTCTCCTGTAAGGTGGTCAAACAGGTTATAAATATCTATCCTGAAGAATTTTCCTATCTGGCCAGAGCCTTAGGCTCCCTCTTCTTCTAGCATGAGATTCTGAGAGTTCATTGTCTTGATACCCTCTTAGTCAGACTGAGGGGCCAGATATCTCTTTAGAACATCACATCTCTGCCAGGCTAGTCACAAGAGGACTTTGAGAAAGAGAAAGAAATATTGTGGGAGTAGAAGGAGGACAAGGAAGGCTAATGTGAAGGTAAATATGACCAAAGTACATTGTCTATATTTATGAAGATATTATCATGAAATCCATTATCTTACGCAATTAATAGATACTAGGAAAAGTAACATTTTTCTAAGGACAAGGAAACAAATCAGTATGAAACAGAATGCACCCACAACCATCATCCTAATGAGTTTCAACAGCCATGTGAGAGCCAAAATCCTTACCTATAGGCCTGGCCCAGCACAGCTGTGTATCTGTACTGGTTAGTTTTATATCAACTTGACACAGGTTAGCTAGAGTTATCTGAAAGGAGGTAACCTCAACTGAGAAAACTCATCCATAAAATCTGGCTGTATGGCATTTTCTTAATTAGTAATTGATGGAGAAGGACCCAGCCATGGTGAGTGGTGCCATCCCTGCACAGATGGTCCTGGGCTCTATATGAAAGCAGGTTGAGCAAGTCACAAGGAACAAACCAGTAAGCAGCATCTCTCCATGGCCCCTGTGGCAGCTCCTGCCTCCAGGTTCCTTCCTTGGCTTCCTTCAGTGGACTGTGATTCAAGATATGTAAGCCAAATAAACCCTTTCCTCCATAAGTTGCTTTGGTCATGGTGTTTCATTACAGCAATAATAATCCTAGTTAAGACAGTATCTCTAGAGCTGGAGAGATGGCTCAACAGTTAAGAGCACTGCCTGCTCATCCAGATCCTGACTTCTATTCCCAGCAACCACATGGTGACTCACAACCATCTGTAGTGGAATTTGATGCCCTCTTCTGACATAAAGTTGTATATTCAGATAGAGCACTCAAATATAAATAAATAAACCTAAAAAAAAAAAAAAGCAGTAGCTTTGAGATGGATATTTAGTCTAGTCTGAATTCAGCAGACTGCAATCAAGCCACTGAATTCCTCTGGTAAACAAAAAAGGAATCAGGGCCAGAAAGGTGACTCAGTGGGTAAAAGCACTTAACTGCTAAACCTGACCTTCGATCCCTGAGACCAAACTCCCGCAAGTTCTTCTCTGACCTCCACGTTATAAGATTCTATTTTTTAAATTATGTGTTTATGTAGGTGGAAGGGCCTGTGCATGTGTGTGTGTAGGTGCCCTCAGAGGCCAGAAGAGAGTGTCAGAGTCCCTAGATCTGGTGGAGTTGCAGAAGGTTGTTAGCTACCAGATATAAGTGCTGGGAATGGAACTCAGTTCCCCTACAAAAGCAGTACTGAGTCATCTCAGCCACTGATTAAAAAACAAAGAGAAAACTGACATGGGTTCAGCTTCCTTCTTATGTTTAGAAGTCACCACTTAGCAGCAAGCATCCTGGCCCTCTGGCTTTTTCTTAAACACATGCACATACAAGCAACACTAAATGGGTGAGAGAATAACAATAATAATTTTAAATGAAGTCCTGGGAGCTGAAGAGATGGCTGGGAGGTTAAGAGCACTGGCTGCTCTTCCAGAGGTCCTGAGTTCAATTCCCAGCAACCCCATGGCAGCTCATAACCATCTATAATGATATCTGATGCCCTCCTCTGGCCTTCAGGCATACATCCAGGCAGAACACTGTATACATAGTAAATAAATCTAATTTTTTAAAAAGTCATAAATTTTAGAGGGAGGATTGTAATGGGGAGAAGGAGGACTGTAAAGGATATAAATACAGCACTCATGTATGAAATTCTCAATAACTGAAATTAAAATTAAAAACAAGGGAAAAATAAAACATGGACCAAGCAAAGGGTAATGGTTGAGTACAGAATGTGCTCCAAGTTAGCATTTGGTTTGGTGATGGTAGCAGCTTAGGTTTTGGTTCTTGTCTTTTTGTTTGTTGGTTTTTGTTGTTGTTCGCTTTGGTTGATTGTCGTGGACATTTTCCTTTCTTTTATTTTGTGACTGTTATCTAAGAGGCCATCGTTTTAGTTTCTGTAGCTTGCACTGAAAATCCAGTGTGGTAGGAGAGTTAAGTTCACAGTGGTCATTGCTGAAAAAGGCTCCTTTAAGATATACAAGTGGGGTTCTGGAGACCAAAATGGAATCAATCAGCCATAAAATTAGCAAAGGAAGTTTATGCGAGCAGGAAAGATTCTAGACTTTGAGGTGAGAAAAGATCTTAGAATGTCCAAAGAGCTAGGGAGTATTGAGTATTTTAATCTTTTTGGTGCAATAAAAACTGGAATTTTTTAAGGTATAAGTATACCGGTGCATGAATACCTCATGTATCTGTCCAGATGTCTTCTCCACCATTTTTCGAGTGGATTTCGAGAGATTACAATCTTACCACCAAGCCAGCTTTTGCATGTGTTCATGTGGGTTCTGGAAATCAAACTCAGGGCCTGTGCTTGGAAGGCAAGCACTTTAACTGAGCCATCTCCCTACCCCCAGGAATTGTATTCTTAATTCAGTTTTTTGACTGGTCATTCCAAGAGTATAAAAAGCATAATGGGGATTGGGGGGGGGGGGAACCAATGGCTTGGCTGAAGGTACTCAATGCTAAACCTGATGAGTTTGATCTTAGAACCCACATGACGGAGCAAACTAACACACACACGCTGCATATTTATGGCATTCGAGTATACTTCAAGACTACTGATACTAGTATTAGTACTGTTCATGGATCCCTTAGGATTTTCAACATGCAAGACCGTGTCATCTGCTAGTAGGGATAGGTTAACTGACATGTCTCCAAAATCAAGAGAAACAACGAAAGGAACTCCATAAAAGAGGCTTCCTAGCAGAATTTCCAGGTATGATCCTGGCTCTCCAGTTTGCTGTTCCCCTCCCCCACCCTGGAACACAATCTGCGTGCTTGTCCTCGTTGCCATGGTGAGGGAAGCTCAGGGTGCACTCATTCTAGCAACCAGGAAAGAGTGAAGTGTGGTTAGGGGTGGGTGGACCCCTGCCCATTCAGCAAGACGATCCCGGGCCAGATCCGGGTACCGAGTTAGGGACCATGCCTGTGTTGCTCCCCTCCACGGACCGCAGCAAGGACTCGCGAGTAGGGGCTCCAGAATGGCGCCAGGCGGCCCAGGCCACGTCTCGCAAGGCGCACCTTCTGACCGATCGCTGCGGACAGGAGGCGGTGACAATGTGGCAGCCCAAAGACAGTGTGCTGGACCCGAACGTGGCTCACCACCTGGGCCGCGCCGCCTACATGGAGCCCTGGCGCTTTCGCGTGGAGATGCTGAAAGGCGGCGGCACCCTGGAGAAGCCACCGCCGGGAGAAGGCGTCACTCTGTGGAAAGGGAAGATGAAGCCCCCAGCCTGGTACGCGCGCCTACCGCTGCCTATGCACCGCGACGCTCATGCCCAGCAGACCGCCGAGGTGGTGCACGCGCACGCGCGCGGGGCGCGCCTCACCGCCGCCCGCCTGGGCCGCGCGCAGCACCAGATCAATGGGCAGCTGCGGCTGCTCCTGCGCCAGCGCGAGGCCAGCGATCGCAGGCTCAGCGAAGTGCGCAAGGGCCTGCTCATCAACCAGCAGAGCGTCAAGCTGCGGGGCTACCGACCCAAGTCCGAGAAGGTGCGAACTTCACCGCCACCACACAAGAGGCAGAGGCTGATGCTTCCTTCCTCAGACAGACAACACCTCCCATGCTCCATCTCCAGCGAGGACACCCCCAGGATAGGGTGGCTAGGCCTCCAAGTTCCAAAGCCTGAGAGCCAACCCCCCCCAAAAAAAAAAGTGTTACCGAAATTGGAGTCACAATTTGTGCCCCAAGAAACCAAGTTTGGCCACCGTTCTCTGTAAGCCAATTAGAACAGCTAAATTAATAGTAAAATCAGGGTTATTTAATCAATGAGGCCACATCGAGTAAAGGGCCAAAGAGATCCATTCAGTGACCCTCTTCCGTCCATCTTCATGGTCCTCATCGAGATTAAAGTTTAAAGTGAGAGCCACAATTCCCACATCTAAGCAGTCTGAGTCAAGGCATGTTCTTGTCAGTCACTGACATTTTGACTCAGTCTCTCCAGCAAGGTTGTCTGACTGGCAGTCAGTACTGTATGAAATCCCTTTTTGGGATCAAAGTTCCTCCTCCGGTAGCACCAGGCCTTTTCCTTCTCCCAGCATGAGATATGTGGGGTGAATTCCAGTTTTCTGGGGTTCAATGATAGGTTAAAGGACATTAGTGTCCCTTTAGAATATCTCCGTTCCAGTCAGGCTTACAAAATGATAAAATCCCCAGCCCTTTTCACCAGTAGACAAACTATTACAAATCCCCCCTGAGTCACGTTGTATGAAAATCAAGGAGGAAAATTCACAGCCCCAAGCCTGAATATCAAGTCACCTCTACCCCTGCTCCAACATTTCCCCGGACCCACACGGTCTGCCTCAGCCACGAAGCCACGAGGCCCCAACTTCAAGGGAGAAAGACCCTCAGATCCAGCTAAGGAGGCACTTGGTGATGCCCTGGGTCTCAAACCAGATGAACCAAATGCCACACAAAACGGAAAATAAAACTCAGCCCTGAGCTAGGTAGATAGATCAGTAAGAACCCTTCCGGTCGGAAACATGAGGACCTAAGTTTGAATCCTCAGCATCCACAGAAAAGCCAGGCAGAGAGTGCCTGGAGCCTCAACACTGAGGGTTGGAGGAAGGTGGTATCCACGGAGCCTGCCCAAACATCAAACTTTAAAGTCAGCAAACAGCCCATGCATCAAGTCATAGACAATTGATTTAAAAAAGAAAGAAGAAAGGCTCTCCTAAATCCCTGCACCAGAGGGCCTCCTGGAGAAAAATCAATTCTTCTTTCTCTGTGAGAAACACCCACCCCCACCCCCAACCCCACTCCCACCCCCACCCCCAAAAGGGAGTGGAACTCCTCCAGCTGCAAGTTCCAAACTCAGCAGCTCACAAGGATGTGATGTCCTTTCTACTATGAAAAATAAAAACCCCCTCCAGCCTTCTGAGAGTAATTCTCCACTTGTCTTCTAGATCCCAGACAAGGCTGACAGCATGCTTGCCTGGGAGAAGGAGGAGCTGAAGTCCATGAAGAGAAAAATGGAAAAAGACATGGAAAAATCAGAGACCTTGCTCAAGGTTAGGGGGGGTGGGTACCTAGAGAGGGACACCTGGATGCCTAATGCACAAATTGCTCTGACCTAAGTGGGGAACATACTCAAAGTATGTTGTGTACAATTACAAAAATGTCACAATGAAACCCATTGTATAAAATTAGTATATGCTAATAAAAAAAAAACTTTCTTTTTATTTTGTTTTGTTTTTCCAGACAGGGATTCTCTGTGTAGCCCCGGCTGTCTTGGAACTCACTCTGTAGACCAGGATGGCCTTGAACTCAGAGATCTGCCTGCCTCTGCCTCCCAAGTGCTGGGATTAAAGGTGTGCTCCACCACTGCCCAGCAATAAAAATTTTTTTTTTCTTTTAAAAACCACAGCAAATAAATAAATAGTCCTCTTAATTCTCAGGTGCTAGTCATTCCTGTCTCCAGATTTCTCTAGATGGAAACAAGATCTAGCCAATTTGTCCCTGTGAGCCAAACCCATGCTCAGCACTCTCCGGCACACAGTAGGGACTGGATAAATATTTGGATCCGTGTAGGGAAGACATTTTCTTTTTGAAGTACCAAGATGAAGCACACTGCATTATATCACAGGATTATCTTTTGATTGTTTTAAATGGTGTGTGTATTCAAAGGAGAGGTTGTACATGTTGTGCGGGTGCCGGTGGAAGCCAACAGTATCCATTGTTCATGGAGCTGGAACAACAGACTGTTGTGAGCTGCCCAGTGAGGGTTCTCACCTTCCATTATATATATATGCATCCTAGGTATCAAACTCAAGACATCAGGATTAGCTGCAGTCTCCTTTACCTGAAGAGCCATATTATGAGCCCTGAGTAGGCTTTCTTCGTTATCACATGACAATGCCTTCACCCTTGTGTTCTGTATACCCACTCCTAACTACTCAAGAAAGCCACCAGAACCAGTGTGCCCAGGAATAGGCTTGTAACTGTGCCCTGATTAAAATAAATAAATAAATAAATAAATAAATAAATAAATAAATAGGGGGTTGGAGAGATGGCTCAGTGGTTAAGAGAACTGACTATGCTCTTCCAGAGGTCCTGAGTTCAATTCCCAGCAACCACATGGTGGCTCCCAACCATCTCTAATGGGATCTGATTCCCTATTCTGTCATTTCATGCGTACATGCAGACAGGGCACTCATATACATAAATAAGTCTTTTTTTTTTTAAGGTTTAAATAAATAAAAAACCAAATAGGCCACCAGTCTATGGGCTGCAGCTTGTTATTCCCACCCCCCCCCCAAAAAAAAAAAAAAAAACAAATTCAGAGGCACCAGGAAAACACAAGGACTGAAGGACTCTCTAGCAACTAGGGAAGATGTGTGTTTCCAAGGACATATACATATGCAAAGGGCTTCTATTTTGATGAAGTTGGGTTTCCCTATAACAATGAGCTGTGTCAGCTTAGAGGCCCAAGTGCTTTGTGATGGGTTTGGCCCTGCCCCTGAACTTCCAAACTGACTCTCTGCCTTCTTTCTCTGGCTCTCAGGCTCTGGCCTCCTGTCGGGACACTCTGGACTTCTACTGTCAGGAAAGACTTCAAGCTGTGGAGCTCATGAACCAGCCGCTGGACAAGGTTCTGGAGCAGGCTGGTCGCCACTCATGGGTGGACATCACCCGACCCCCAACTCCGAGAACTCAAGGCCAGAAAACGCCTCCCCCTGACCCGGTGGGCACATACACACCAGGTAGGCACCACAGGAAGGTGTCTGCTAAGCCTACAGCTCCCTTAACTAGCTCTTCTTGAGTCTACAGCCTTGCTTGTTCACTTTCCCAGGGCACTTGCTCCAACACCCATACATTCACAAGTTCTACTTCAAAAGAAGCCAATTCAAAGCACACTTTAAGCTATCCTCACTTACTGCCCTTCCCTGGGCTTTCTCCCAATCCTTCACCCATGGCCCACCACCATCACAGAGGGGAAAGCAGGGAAGAGCAGGAGGACAGACAGAGATAATCTGTGGTCCCTGCGTAAATCCTGTGCTTTCACAGCCTGTGCTAAAGCCTTGTTTGAAGCCAAGCGCTTGTTGATGGAGTCCAAGGACACTTTAGCAGAGCTGGCAAAGAACGAGGTGGACATTCAAAATCAACAACAGCAGATCAGCGACCTCGTATGTGCTTCACTAGCACAGAAGATGCGTGAGACCTTGGAGCTGAAGGTGCCCACCTGGCCTGGAGAGACCCCAGGGCGTGGCTGCTGCTGATGTGGGTGGGGAAGGAGGGGACAATGGCCCAGTATGAGATCCCTGTGGCCCCCCATCTGCAGGAAAGAATGACCATGACTTTAGGGCTAATGAGGGGAACTATCCACCGGTGCATGAAATTCAATCAAGAGATGTATGTCACCAGGGGCCTTATCAAGGTAAGGTTTGAAGCAGAGTAATCTATGAGGAGGGAGCGTGGAGGGCACGTATGGCGTAGGCTCGGCCTCACTGCTCCCTACAACAAACTCTGCCAGGGTCCTCTGTTGAAAAGAAACCTGGAGGCTCGAGAGAAACTAAACAGACCCTTGGTTCGCATGTATCAGAGACACGTGGGCACCCAGCTCCCAGAGGCTACGCACCTTGCCCAGGTATGTACCCTTCATGTTCCCCTCGGGTGCACCATGTCCTTGTAGCTGCTCCCTGCAGGCCTGCCTCTGACAGGTAGCTTTTCAAGCCGGCCGGGTTGCTGGGCCACACATTCAAGATTTGACCCTCCCACAGCCCAGCTCTGCAACATACGTTGTTCAGATGTGTTCCACCATTCCTGGAGCGTCCTGCTGTAAGAGCATCCCCTCCCTCAGGCACCTCGGCCATTGTGTTTACGTTTTGTTTGGTTGTTTTTCACGAAAACCTGGGCCGGCTTTTTTCCTGGAATCCCTGCAACGGAGACCTACCTCCTCAACTATGCTTTTTCAAAAGTGGGGCCTTTTCAGGTGCATGCCTGGTCCAACTGTTAACACCTGTGTCCTGCATAGAATTCTGACTGTCTTCAGGTCTACTCTACACTCATGACTGCCCCACGTAGCACCAGCTCAAGGCTCTGGGTTGGCTCGCCTGTCTTCCAGCACTGTCCACTCCCTTCCCAGCACAGCCCCTCCCTCCCCAACACCAACCAACTTTTCCCGTGCTAAGTCTCCTCAGCATGACCCCACTCACACACCCCTCCCCTTACCAATACCGGCCCTCCTTCCCAGTGCGGCTCTGCCCTACCTTGGAACAGGTACACCTCTCCCAAACAATGGCCCCACCTCTTCCCGCGCTGCCTCTACCCTCCCACAAAGACTTTGCTAGCTCCACTACTTCCTAAAAGTCCCACCCCCTGCCCAGAATGCCCACCCCCCCTCTCCAGAGCAGCTGTGCCCCTTCTCCACAAGGCTTGAACCTCCATAGCACAGACCTGCTACCCTGTCCCTTTTAAAGCACCATCCCTTCTCTGCAAAGCCCCTTGCTCCTTTGCCAGGACCTGCCCCTCCCAGCTCAGCCTGGTCACCTCCTAGCCCAGGCCCCGCCCTACCCCAGCAAGATCGCTACCCCTTTCCTCTCCAGGGTACTGACAAGCTGATGCGCCACAACTTGCACATGGAAAAGAATTTAGAAGCGCTCCGAACAACACACGACAACCTCGCCTGGAGCCTCAACTGCAAAAAGATAGGGCATGACGTTGATTACGATGTGGTGCGCCTGCGCCTGCGCCAGCGCCACCCGCATGTATGCTATGAGCAAGCACAGCGCCTGGTTAATGACTGGGACCTTTGCACGCCACCGCGCAGCGGAACCGGTACTACCCTCAAGTGACTACAGCTGGCCTTGGGCTCAGGAGACTGGAGAGAAGTCCCCAGCTAGATGGCCCTCCCTCCCCTCTGACTCACCTTCCCTCCAAACGCCCTCTAGCAGAACTATAATTAAAGATATTGTCACTTGTTAGGCACCTACTGATCATACCATAAAACCTAATGTGTACTTGCTGTCAAATTGTTAGAATTCAGATCCCAAGACCCCGGTTTCAAACTGTGTGGCTTTGGGCCACACACTGCCTTTCTCTGACCTCTGTCTCTCAAGCTTGTAAAATGAACATTACAGTGCCTATTTTGAAAGGTTGTGGTAAGAACAGATGCTAGAGAGCCTGCCCTCTTAGCAGAATGCCTCTGATCTCTGCTTCTATGCTCACCCTACAATAAATATCTGAACCAGGCAGGTGGCAGCTGATAAGATCACTGCCCTTATGAAGCTCACAAACCCATTTCCTTCAGCCAGCAGTGTTCTTTAAAGCCACTCACTAGGAGACCTGTTCACATCCTGTCATAACTCAGTTCTGGTAACCTTGAACACCAGCAAAAAACTCTACAATCTGTTCTCCCTGGATCCTAGGGCCTAGGATACAAAGGCAAGGGCAAGAGTGATTATTGTAGTCACATTGGAGAATCTGAATACATGTCAACTTGAAAAGAGTCTCAGGACTCCTAAGGCTCAAACTTCTACATCAGCACCTTTCAGGCTTGACCTGCAACCAATCAGGAAGGAGCCCACTCACCAGAAGCGAATTGTGGGGAGGGTTTGTTTACTTTTTGTTTGTTTATGTGTATTTGTTTTGGGAGGTCTGTGTGCGTGCATGTGGGTGCTGTTGACCACAGAAGCCAGAGGAGGGCGGCAGATACCTAGAGCTGTAGTTACAGGGTGTTGGGAACTGCCCTTTGCTGATGCTGGGAGCTGAGAACTGAATCCCTGCCCTCTGCAAGTACAGTATACACTCTTAGCCACTAGCCCTCTCTCCAGCCCCAACCCAAGGGAACTTAGGAAAGACAAGATGGTTGAACATAATCAGATTCCATATTTGTGTGTTCCGATCTTGGCTAAGAAAAATCTTGTAGCCGTCAATCAACGCTTGTGATGTTTTTGTGGTCGTTTGTAGTCACAGGGCAGTGATAGTCACAGGGCAGTGAAACATGGGTTCAGCCTTTCTGACTTGCCACAGGCTGGCCTAGCAGAAACAAAGCAGGAGAGGCCCTGCATACTTGCTTCAGCCCTAACTGGGAGCAAGTGTCCTCCTGGCGTTTACTTAGCACCCTGCGTTTTGCACTCCTCCTCCTTTCAGTTCATGGTGTCCTTGTATCGGATGCCCTCCAGGGTAGTTCACAAACATTGTCTAAGATCCCTAAGTGAAAAAAGGTCATGATGTGTCTTGTAGAAAAACATGCTGCGAGGTGTGTTGGCACAGATCTGTCATCCCAGCATCTTGAGGTTCATCCTCAGCTACACAGTAAGCTCAAGGCCAGCCGGGGCAATGACAAACCTTCCTTCAAAAATAAACAACAAACAAACACACAAGGAGGCTAGACTAAACAGCATCTTTATCACTCCCTCTAAGGCCCAGAGAACATTGAGGAGGAGAAGGTAGGAAGAGTGTAAGAGTCAGAAGGTGAATGGCTAAAGATTACCATCTCTGGACAGGACAGATGCAATCACAGACTTGTATCAGCTGAGGCAGCCTGCAGCTGGGCCTAGGGAAGACTGAGCCCAACAGCCAGGTATGGATGGGGCCTCCTGCCATTCACAGGGCCTCCTCTTCGCTGGTGGCTACTGATAGATCCAGGAAGAAAGTCGGTGTCTTAGATTGAGTTCCCACTGTAAACGCACCAGGCACCAGTGGATTGTTCTAAGCCAATGGTCACACAGACATCCCTAGTTAAACTCAGTGGGTAACAAAGCAAAAAAGACATCAGTCTGCAAAAGGATAGGGATGAGAGGGAGACAACCCGGGGAGGCAGGGAATCAGAATGTGTCATATACATGAATGAGATTACCAAAGGACAAACTTAATAGCAGGAGAGGCTAGAAAGAGGTCTCAGTCAGAAATGTAAGGACCTGAGTTCAGATCCCCAACACCCAAATCAAAGCCAGGCCTGGCAATTAACATCAGAGCTGGGGGACCTAAGCAGACTCATCCCTGGGGCTTGCTGGCCAGCCTGTCCTAATAAATAGGTAAGCTCCAGGTTCATCAAGAAACTCTGTCTCAAAAAAATTAAATAATGTGGAGAGTGGCACAGGAAGCCAACCTCCGACCTCCACATATACACATGTACACATGAGCAGTACATGCACACACATATGTTTATATACACTCTACCTCACAAACACACACAAAAATTAAAAATAAAAATATTGACTCCTCATATAAGCTCCATTTAGGCTCGCATTACAATGTTGTTTACTGTAAATGCATTAACAATAGCTACGTCCTAAATAAAGTACCTTTAAATGGAAGCAGCTGAAAACAAGGTCGGGTGTGGATTCTTCTATTCAAATGTGGTCAGAAGTTCACAGGAAGCTCATCTTTCGTTTCCCAAAAGAGCCAGCATGCACAGATTCAGTGCCCTAGGAAGCTTTCTAAAGTGTAGCTAGGGTGACTAATTTTACAAAGGTGTGAATTTTGTGCCAGAAGACATCTGGTGATGGTGCAGTACCAACCTGCTATTAACTGCTGGGGTTTTTCCGCTGGTGGGTTTCAAGGACCCGAAACAAGAAGCTGTTAGGATATTCTGCAGGGTAAACCTCACTGGCTGCTGTTCCCTATAGGTAGAACCACTTGAGTTTTTGTTTTTGTTTTAAGCTATGGCACTTCCTTCCCTGCACACAGGTCTGTTTGTTGATTCTCAGACGTTATCCTCATGGATGCAAATGAATTTTTTGCAAGTGATGCCTTGCCCCAAGGGTTGTAGGCTACTACCCTCATCCTTGCTGACACAGCCCCATTTTGTCACCTCACCTTACACAATCTTCCCACGCAGCAGCATTTGCACAATCCCACTGCAGCTTTGGAGGTATCAGCTGAGTCTCAGGGGTGAGTTCCAGGAACTCAGCGAGACACTTTGTCTGGGAGGCCATAAGGTGGTGTCAAATCCACACTTTAAGAAAGAATAAGCTTGGAGGCTGTGATGAGGGTCAGCCATGCCACTCAGCAAGTACAGGGCTCAGTCTGACTTGCAATCACTGTCGACACTGTCAACAAAAACAAGGGAGACAAGAACAAGAGTTGGCCAGCAGTTGTCAGTGAAAAAGCTTCCACACAACAAAGGGAGTCATCAACAGAGTGCAGAGAGGCCTCCCAGATGAGAGAGAATTTTTGTTCCATCTGATTGAGGAGTAGGCAAATGTCTCCAGCAGCAGTTCTTATCCTGTGGATGGTAATGACCCTTTCACAGTGTTGCCGAAGACCACCGGAAAACACAGCTATTTATTACAATTTGTAACTGTAGCTAAATCACAGTAGCAACAAAATAATTTTGAGTTCACTACAACATGAACTGTATTAAAGGGTCACAGCATTAGGAAGGTTGAGGACCATTGCTCCAGAATGTACATAGAACTGAACAATCTTAACCAAAACAGGTACCCCAAAGTGAAATTGGGAAATGAACTAGAGATGCCTCTCAAAAGAAGAAACAGTCCAGGACTGATGGGAGATGTCATTCTGTAAATAAATTTCTCATACTGGTTAATGAGTAAAGCACTGTTGGATACTAGAAAAGCAAGACAGGTGGGACTAGGAGACAAGGAGGAAAGAGGAAGTAGTAAGGAGGAGTCAAGATGGAGAGAGCGGGGAGAGCACAACGCCAGCTGGCTCCCCGGTAAGATGAAACCACGTGGAAATACATAGATTAACAGAAATGGGTTAATACTTAAGACAGAGCTAGCTGATAAGACATTAGTACCTGACCAACAGAATTATATCAAATACAGAGTCTCTGTGCATTATTTGGGGCTGGCGCAGCGGCGGGACAAGACCAGCAGCAGGTGGGAAAAACATACTCGTTACACAGGACTGCAAGTCTGACCCTCTATTCTGGACATGCCGGGCTCACTTGTTCAGTGGCCCTATTAATCTCACTTTGAAGTATCTGCTAGGTCAGGAGAGATGACTCACTGTTTAAAGCATGACACACACTTGTGTAAGTTTCCTCTAAGGTTAAAATATTCCATTTTGGAGGGAAACCTCTTAAGACATGGGATGTGCTGGGCAGTGGTGGTGCACGCCTTTGATCCCAGCACTTGAGAGAGGCAGGCAGATCTCTGAGTTTGAGGCCAGCCTGGTCTATAGCATGATTTCCAGGACAGGAGCCAAAGCTACACAGAGAAACCAAAAAAAAAAAAGATGTAAAGTCAATGTGAAACATGTTCATGTTCATTTATGACAGTGTTTGCAAGGAGGTGAAACAATAGATTGTACTGGGGGGAGCGGGAGGCATACTGTATTCTAAAGGGACATTCCATAAAGACAGACTTACACAACTCAAAATAACTTCAAGAGGTTCCTGCAACTGAGCTAATTCACTAGTTCCCTCCCCTCTGCAATATATATAAGCATGAAAGACTGCCTAGAGTCACTCTCAGAGAAGCCAGGCTTCCTGGAAAGGGCATCCCTTAACCTGCTGAGCGGCTGCCGACTTCTGCACTGTGCCCCCAGGTTATCAGGGGCCGCAGACTGCACTGTGATCCAGGTTCCAGCTCTCATACTGGGGAGGGCTTTGATGAAGCAGCTGTCTTTAAGTTGCTTTGGGTCCTGTAAGCAACCCCTCACCCATATTTTTATAAGTAACCCAAATAAAATTAATTGGTTCACCAAGTTAAACTTGTACTTTGGTTTGGTCTGTCCCTGGTTCCCTATCTGCAGTCAGCAGAAGTTTTTTCACATCTCCCCAAGAACAGTGTCACACACACACACACACACACACACACACACACACACATGCACGCATGCATGCACGTACACATGAAAATGAAAAGCAAAACAATACACT